CTAGAAAAGAGATTGAAAACAGAACAGAGGATTATCGACGAACATGCCATAATCGTACCAAAGCCACTGAACTGAGAACACAGCAGTGGAAAAAACAAATAATGAACGCAAATATATGTGTTCTGATGGCATGTCCGCGCCACAAGGGTATTCAATGGATTCCTGTACATAAACACAAATCACAAAAAAGATCACAGGGAGGTGGCGTCTTAGATTCAGGGGAACGTTGCATTATTAATGAAGAGCAACCGCTTGGATGCAAACAGCCACCAGGTTCTCTATGAATAATTAACCGTTCGTGTTGTTACGTATGCCATTGGCCCTGACTGGGTCCACGCGGCGAGGGGCACATACTTGAGGTCGTCGGAAGAGGCATGTGGGTGGGTTGGTGGAGGGCTTTGGAGGGGTAGGCTGGCGGAGGCTTTGGAGGGGGTGGGCTGGCGGAGGGCTTTGGAGGGGTGGGGCTGGCGAAGGGCTTTGGAGGGGGTGGGTTGGTGGAGGTTTGGAGGGGTGGGCTGGCGGAGGGCTTTGGAGGGGGGGGCTGGCGGAGGGCTTTGGAGGGTGGCTGGCGGAGGGCTTTGGAGGGCTTTGGAGGGGGTGGGCCGGAGGGCTTTGGAGGGGGGTGGGCGGAAGGAGGGTGGGCCGGCGGAGTCTTTGGAGGGGGTTGGGCTGGGGGAGGGCTTTGGAGGGGGGTGGACTGGCGGAGGCTTTGGAGGGGATTGGGCTGGCGGGGCTTTGGAGGGGGGTTAGCTAGGGGAGGCTTTTGGAGGGGGGTTTGGGGGGGGGGGGGTGGGCTGGCTTTGGAGGGGAGGGCTGGCGAGGGCGGGGGGGTGGGCTGGAGGGCTTTGGAGGGGGGTTAGCCTGGGGGAGGGGCTTTGAAGGGGGTGGGCTGGAGGAAGGCTTTGGAGGGGAGGCTGGCGGAGGGCTTTGGAGGGGGGGGGGCTGGCGGAGGGCTTTGGAGGGGTTAGCTGGGGAGGGGCTTTGAGGGGTGGGCTGGAGGAAGGCTTTGGAGGGGAGTGGCTGGGGAAGCTTTGGAGGGGAGTGGCCTGGCGGAGGGTTTTGGAGGGGGTGGGCTGGCGAGGGCTTTGGAGGGGGGGGGCCGGCGGAGGGGGGGAGGGGGGGGGAGGCTTTGGGGGTGGGCTGGGGGAGGGCTTTGGAGGGGTTGCTGAGGGTTTGAGGGGGAGTGGGCGGCTGAGGGCTTTGGAGGGGGGTGGGCTGGCGAAGGGCTTTGGAGGGGGTTAGCCTTGGGGAGGGCTTTGGAAGGGGTGGGCTGGCGAAGCTTGGGGGGGAGTGGGCTGGGGAGGGCTTTGGAGGGGGGTGGCTGGCGGAGGGCTTGGAGGGGGGGTGGGGCTGGCTTTGAGGGGTGGGCTGAAGGGGAGGGGGTGGGCTGGCGGAGGGCTTTGGAGGGGGGTGGGCTGGCGGAGGGCTTTGGTCCGGCGGAGGCTTTGGGGGGGGGGTGGGCTGGCGGAGGGCTTTGGAGGGGGGTGGCTGGCGGGGGCTTTGGAGGGGTGGGCCGGCGGAGATTGGAGGGTTTGGAGGGGGGGGGCTGGCGGAGGGCTTTGGAGGGGGTGGGCTGGCGGAGGGCGGACAGGCTTTGGAGGGGGGGCTGGGGGAGGGCTTTGGAGGGGAAGGCTGGCGGAGGGCTTTGGAGGGGTGGGCTGAGAGAGTGGGGAACTGGAGGAGGGCTTTAGAGGGGCTTAACTAACTAAAGGGCTTTAGGTTTGGGAAGGGAGAAGGGGAGGCGGGGCTTTTACCATCAGTGACAGGAGAAGCGCGCATACCGTCGGCGTGAGAGGTGCTTGCCTTCGGGTAAAGAGACAGGAAGGAGAGGAACGGTTTCTTAGCTAGCTACATTCACGCGTCTTTGGGCCGAGAACCGCTTTGATGCGCTCATTGTCCCAGCGCGCGGCCTTTGTGCAGGCTCCGGCCCCATCAGAGTTCGTCGCGCTTTCTCGCAACTTCTCGCAATCTCTCGCGACCGTTTGGACCTCCTTGCGCTTTGGAAACGGAATCTTAAGGAAAGAGATATTCGATAAAATGTAAGCAAAGCAAGGAGGTCGACTAAATGGAAAAAAATGGAAAAATAATGCAAGGTGGAAGGAATAATGTTTTAAGTATACACTAGACAAGGAGGGTAGAAAATGCTAGGCAAAAATCGAGAAAAAACAAAAAGTATAAAGGTGAACAGATAACAAAACAAAACAAAGTATAAAGATGAACAGAGAACAAAACAAAACAAAGTATAAAGGTGAACAGAAATAAAAAAAGTCAATTGAACACCAAAGAGAACAATAACAAACATACAAACATACAAATACATAGAATAGAAATAGAGAAAAAAGTCAAATGGACACACAAAAAAACTGTAACAAATAAACAAAAAATACAGAACAGAAACAAAGAAAAAAGTCAAATCAACACACACGCAATAAATAAATAAATAAATAAAAAACAGTAACAAATATACAAAAACACAGAACAGAAACAAAGAAAAAAGTCA